AAGAGCAATCCGTTAGAGCGTTAGAACAAATCGTTAGAGCGTGTGGACAAATCGTTAGAGCGGAGATGATAGCGAACTCCCAGCAAAGAAGACGATCGACGTTTGAGACAAATATCTTGAAGTTTTTTATCTTGAAAGAGCATCTACTTCTAATTTTTGTTGTGCTACAAACCAAAATAATCCACATATACTTAAGTATGTCTCGTATGATCGATCGCGTCTTTTACAACCCTGTGGAAAATTATTCTCGTGGGCACCCCCTGTACCCCTTGGAAAATTCTACCCTTTAGCCCCCCCACCCCCTAGGAATTTCCATTAACCATCCGTGGGGGGGGTATGGATATTTTCTGGAACCACACATTTCGCACTAACCCTGGGTTATCTTAACCCAGGGTTGGCGCGAGATTTTGATTCAGATTTGAAAGCTTAAAAAGCATTTCAGTTTTAATTCTTTTTGTCTGTAAGTTGATGATTGGAAGCTCTAAAAATAACAGAGGAAATTATCCAAGAAAAATACTTTTAAACATAAGAAAAAGGAAACCCGGGTTAAGCGTTAATTGGCCTTTGAACAACTGGGCCCTGGGCTGAAGAGAGACATAGTGGAGTAAAGTTCCTTGTCTAACGAAACAACGCAATGGGCGAGGCTTGAACCCCCTGACCTCCAGATAAAAACACACCCCTCCACCTTATCCTCTGAGATCCCACCCTGGATCTCAGAGGATGGTCTCATGACCCCTTATTGCATTTTCTCAACATTTTTGTGAATAAAAAGGCCTAGAGCATTATGGAACTGTTATTTTTTGGTGTGGTAAAATTTCTTGCCTCACAGATGTTTGGTCATTTTAGGAGAAAAACTTGTTTTATTTCCTGTTAGGTGTTGTCTTCCAGTTTTAGTACAATCCATGTTGAACCTTGTAAAAGTGAAGAAGAAATAAACACTAGAATCGAGAAGCATGCCTATGGGAAAACTGGTTTGGAGAAGAGGAACAAGGAAGCAGATGGATTGTTTTATCTCAAGACAGTGTATTTACCTGATCAACTTGAGAAAAACCTTAAACAGTTTTTAAAAAGTAAGTGTACAAATGCATGTAATGTATAAAGTAAAATAACTCTTGAGTTAAACCTGAATTCCCTTTTGTGTGATCTCCTATGAATTGTTAGAGCTAAGAAAGAAAGGAAAATCTGAATCAAACTTGGTTAAAATTAATACCGGTTATTTAATCTGGGAGTTTCTTTGTTTTGCTTGTGGGAAATACAACAATAAGGAGCCATCAAAACGTCAAGTTTCTTTTATATTCTTGATTTTTGTTCTAACAATAAACAGGTATAATAAATGTTCAAAAAAGACAGCTTTTTTTATTAGGATTTTCAATTTAAAGTGGATAGTACTTAAATTTACTGCATTCAACCAATTTCTGTTTTTGAATGTCCTTGGTAAAAATTGAGTGGACTGAACTGTTTTGTTTTGTGATACAAAATTTGCCCAAAGAGGGAGATAGAGTGAACCTTATATGCTACCAACATAAACTCAGTTTTTTTTGCATTTTTCTTCCAGAATTCCCAAAAAAGCTGGTTGAAAATGATGGTAGAAAACTGGCCAGGCATATTAAAAACAGGGGTCGCCCAACTGAGCAAACATGGCAGAAATACAGAGAATCTAAAAGGCGTAGAGAAGTATTAGCAGGTAATCTGAACTTGAATATGAAGTTAGGAGTATTCTTCTCAAGCCTAAACATTTGGAGAGTTTGTACCAAAAATGCTGTTTGAAGCTAGTGGATCCATTTTTTGGTCTCTTTTAATCAATTGTCTAAAAGTTCATAAATTACAGCTAGTTCTCTCTATTAAGAGGGACATCTTCGGGACCGGCCCTAAATGTCTGTCTGATTTATAGAGAGTCAAGGTGGTGTGACACCAGTAATTATTAGGAAATATAGCTGAACCCATTCACAATGATATGGTTACACACCTGTTTTACTTATGCAAAACAGTGAGAACTGGAACATTATATAATGGAAAAGTTGAATCATTTTTCTCATGCAATTTGCTTCCCTAACTAACTCAGCAACTCAAGTGGTACAAGCTGGAACTTTTACAACGTTCTGATGTGACACCTACAGTAACTTTACATGTAACTCAAAATGTCACATTTACATACAGTGTTAATGGTTGAATCCTCAAGTGGGCAAGATTAAATGAATCCTGTGTTCTGACTGGCGACCCAAGCGAGCAAGATGCTTGCAATTTCCTGCGTCAGTCCCACAACAGAAGTTTCTCTTTTTGGCTGTTATTTAAATCCTTCATTGACCAGGTTGTTCATTCTTTCTGCATATTGGCCTTATCTTCATCTTGTTCATAAAAATGCAAAAAGGAACTTTGTCAATAAACGTATATACACTGTACAAATGAATGTACAGTGCCCATCTTGACCAAATAAGATTGGTCAATAACATGTATTTAATATATTATTTTATTAATTATTGTTTTTAATCTTGATGTTTATACAGAAAGTGAAGTTAATCCAGAAGACATTTTAAAGTTGGAAAGTCAGGAAAGAGAAAATGTATTATTTGATGAACAGTTTGAAGATATTAGCGAGGATGAAGAGAACGAACTTTATGAAGACTATGAATCAATCAACTTAAGTGATGGAAACACGCAGGATGATGACGGCAAAAGGGTTGATGATGAAGATGGAAACGAAACAGACGACATTATGGCTAAAGAGACTGATAACAATGTACTAAATGTGACAAGTTCAAAAGTCAAGAATACAAAGAAGCCAAAGAGAGCTGAATACAAAGTAATAAGGTAGGGTTTGTATATCATGTGCTCCCCGCCAAAAAGGAGCGTGGATTAAAATAGCCTTTGTCTCTTTAGTCTAACCCTGTTAGTCATGGGCACCCAACGAGAATATAGTTCAACACCACTTAAAAATAGCATTGTTTTAACGTATTTTAGTATTTAAACGGTAGATATAGGCATTTTTTATCCCCTAAAATTTTTTCGTCTGTGTGGATTTCCTAGCTGAAAGTCTAGTGACCCGAAAATTATAGGGATTAAAACTTACCTTTTTGAACATTTCAGCTAGGAAAAAGGCTCCCGAAAATTCTAGGTGACCTTTTTAGGGTAAAAATTCATTAAAAATGGGCAATTATACCATTTTTTAGATGTTCGAAAATCCTAGGAGAGGCAGGCAAGCAAGAAATTTTACAACATATGTTCCGAAAATTCTAGATCTCAAATCGTCTTCTGAATAGATATTTTATATATTGACGTTGGGTGCGCCTGGTTAGTGACTATAAAGCAGCACCAATACCCTTGTTCTAGGCCCTCAATTGACACAACGAATTACCGAAAATGTGTTTCATGTCTCCACTCAACTTGATTGGAAAATCAACAATGGCTTTCTTAAGGGGCCAGTCATTACTGGTACACTGTCAGGTGGGAACCTGGAACAAGGCCTTTTGGGCTGTTTTAATTTGCACACTGACTTACTGTAACTTGAATTTTAGTTGCATCTGTGGCACAGGTTAGTATTAAAGGGTCTAGAAACTTAAATTTAGATTGTCTTTTTGTGTAGCTCATTTTGAAATTGTGAAAGGTTTAAACCCAGGAGTCATTTCATACGTAAGGTGTTCGTACGTATTACAAGACGTGACTGAATATACAATGGCCAAGAAAAGAGAAAACTAAAAAACAGAATACGCCTTCTTTTCCCGTACCGTAGAAGAAAATGGCGTTTCTTCTACTTTAAATTAACCAACCATGCAAAGAAAATTTGCCAAAAAAGGGCATCCGAAAAGGTCACGGAAGCTTCGTTTTCACCAGCAGAGGACTAGTCTTAATGCCATTGTGAATCCCATAAGCCATATTGCCATTTGTTTTGGGTGCTACCGCTGAAACAGAGCTTTTTAATTTCAACAAGCCCACAAATCTATCATCGAACAGCCTTACAATCCTTTGTAAAATCAATACCAACACGTGCAATGTTTTCAAAGTCTCTGAATAGCTTTGCATGGTGAAATTGATTCGTAAAGGACATAAAATCTTCCTGCAGCTGCCTCAGGTGATCTACTAAGCATTTCATTTTGAAATATTTTCAGCCTAAAATGTTAGTGACTAATATGGAATGTGTTTCGGCATCCGATAATAGATGTTGATGTTTGAAAATAAATTCCTTGACCTAACTCACTGTTCAATAAATTATGTTTTCAATACTTCCTCTGAAATGCTTATTTGACATAGTTATTTACTTACATCTATTACAAAGAGCTGAAGTTTAAGTATTGACTTGTACAAACTGTAGATACAACAAAAGAGAGTCTGTGGCATATGCAGCAAGTCGGATACCTGCCAGTTATGGTGCTACTTTAAGAGTATTTCATGAGGTAGGTACTGGTAACTGCACTGAGAAGTCATTTGAGTGCACATTGTTATAAATATTGTATTCTAAGGTCCAAAGGAGTTTTCCTTATAAAATGAGCACCCAAATCACTTATGCCCACTTTCTATGAGCGTGGTCAATTCACCCCCTCTAGAAGAGGCACCAATAACAATAAATTAACTGGCATACTATGGGTATCAAGTTTCAGTTTATGCCCAAAACTATCCCCAAAATTACCACCACTTTAACCGAACACAGATATCATGTTAGGTTTTACGTGTAGCACCCAGGTTAGCAGTGCCAATCCCCCACCCCCCCCCCCCTTACTCCCCAGAGGAAAAAAAGACATCATTTTTATAGTGCAGCACCCCCCTCAGTGAGCAAAGTTCCTTAAATTGCAAATACCCATAGACACATTAATTTTTAACTCTCCTTTTGTTCGGAAGTGTCCCTTAAATACTGGTATTATTTTTGATGAAATTCATGGATGTTTGTTTCATTTGGTTTTAGATTAGTCGGCGAGAACCAGATTTTAAGCCAGAGACTCTACTAGACTTTGGTTCAGGCACTGGAATGGGAGTGTGGTAAATCAAATTTGAAGATGAGAATTTAAGTTGGGGCAGGACATTTACATTGGTTCCCACTGTTCTTAACCCAGCTCAGGGATTTGATATTAAGCACAAGTTTTGAAAGTCTGTCGACCTCCTCTGTTAGATTCTAAAAGTGAGCAGTTCTTGACAGGAAACAGATCACCACTGAGCATAGGAAAATTCATAATATTAAAAATATTTGAGGTTTTGGTCAGGATGAACAAAACCGTCTGTTAGGAGGGTTTTTGTACTGCAGAATTTTACTCTTTTGTAAATTATGGAGAAAAAAATCTTTCAAATAAAATATCGTTAGATAAAAAATAAAAATTTTAGCATTTCCTGAAAGATGACATTATCTTTTAATTTTCTTATATTAATATAATTGTAGGGCAGCTCATGAGAAATGGGGTGACTCAATCAGGGAATATCAGTGTGTGGATGTGTCGCAGGATATGAACAATGTAGCTGAATATCTCTTAAGAGGTAATGACCTGTATCTTTGACATTTAAATAGTAAGTGTCAGACCTTCTTTGTGGGTATCTAAGAAGTGAAAATTTGTTGCTCCCTTTCTTAAGAGTCCTTTAGTCTTCCTGGTAAAGTGCAAACATGTTATTATAGTGCTCAACCAGGGTGCAAAAAAAGTCAGTTTTACAGCCTGCCATTCGGGCAAGGTGTAGCTACCACGTACTAGCCCCAAAACCCGTTTTGATTAGCAGGATTGATTACCATCCTTCTGTAATTTGAATTTACCCAATAAATTCACTTGCCTGTCGGACAAGTTAAGAACAGAATTCACTAGCCCGAAAGCAAAATCCACTAGCCCCGGGCTGTCGGACACGACTTTCTTTGCACGCTGTCAACATTTCACGTCCTACAAATAATAACCCCTTAAAGTAGTAGAGTGGAACCTCTCTACAAGGGCCATGTTGGAGACTACTACTACTACTATGGCCGAGCAATAGCATGCCTCAACCCAGCACGCCTCCTCCAGGTCTCACTATCCAACATAGCTGCTCTCAGCTCTTCTGTGCTTTTTTCGTTGGAGAGAGGTGCCAGTATGGGCCCTTATTTGAGAGGTGGCTGTGTTAGAGATATGTAAAAAAAGGAGCCTCAACTCTGAGCTTGCTGACATTTCACATTTGCATGAAAGAGTAAAGAAATCAGTCATCCTGGTCCTTAAAAAGACTCAAGAGGGTTTAATAACAGATGCATTTTATGGTTGCGAAAAAGTCAAGAAAATATTCTGTTTTTGTGATTTAAAAGACAGTGCATATACAGCAGTTAAAGGAATGCAGAATTCTAAATAATTATTAGGTTTAATTATGTCCCTTTGATGAAAATAGACCCCTAATGACCTTTATACACCAGTCTAAAACTCTGCTCACTGAGGATCTCAGTATGTGACAGATGAATAGCTTGCTGAGTGAATGAAATGATAATTATGCTGCATGAAGAACATTACAAGTGCTATTCATTGTTGTTGTTCTTGTTATTTGACATTCAGGTGGGGAAGGACTCAATAAGTCTCTTCACATTCCAAGAGTGTATTTCAAAAGATTTTTACCTGTTTCCAATTTGGTAAGTTTATGCGGAAATAAATTTAAATTTCA